TGGGGGGGCAGGCGCGGTGTGGTGGTGCTTGCGGCGGTGCTGGCTGCTGTCTGGGGGCGCGTTTTGTTGCTGTCGTGCCGGCGCCGAGAGGGCGAAGGCTGGCGTGATATCATCTGGTGCTTGCAAGCACGGCATCAAAGTGCCGCCGCCTGGTCACACCCCTCGCCCTGAGCCCGCCATTGCTGGCTTGCATCTCCGGCAGCAGGCTGGTGACCTGTCACACCCCCACCCCCTTCCCTCCCTCCCTCTTGCTGCGGCCAGGCCGTCATGGAGCTGGGGGCAACCGTGTGCGTGCCCAACACAGACCCCAAGTGTGGAGAGTGCCCCGTCAGCGCCAGCTGCGCCGCGCTGCGCGCGGTGCGGCGGCACGAGGAGGCGGGCGGGCGGGCGGGCGAGGCGGGCGCGCCTCGAGTCACTGACTACCCTGCAAAGGTGTGGCGTGGGCGGGAAAGAGGATGATGAGGGAGGGAGGGCTGCTGCTGTGCAGCTATGGCGATGGTGTGGGCCAAGGGGTGGGGAGGCGTGGTGGCCCGGGCGAGTGCTTTCCGGCGCCGCGCCAGCAGCGCAACCCCCGCCTGCGCCGGCCGCAGGTCGAGAAGGCTGAGAAGCGGGAGGAGGCGGTGGCGGTGGCGGTGGTGCAGCTGCTGCCCGCGGGCGTGGCGCCGTCGGCGGCCGCCGCGCCGCCGCACCGCGCCGCCTCGCGCTTCCTGCTGGTGCAGCGCCCGGCCACGGGCCTGCTAGCAGGGCTGTGGCAGTTCCCGCTGCTGCCGCTGGGGCCTGAAGCGGAGGGGTCGCCCCGCAGGCAGCACCAGCTCATGGACGCGTACCTGGAGGCGCAGCTGGGTGTGCAGCTGCAGCAGCAGGGCGCTGCGTCGGGGCAGGCGCGCGGTGGCGGCGGCGGCGGCGCAGGTGCGCGGCGCCGCGGGACGGCCTGCTCGCGGCGCCGCCGCCGCGGCCCTGCCGGCTGGGGCGCCCGCCTTCCGCGCCGGCCCACCCGCCTGCTCTCCCTGGCTGCCGGCCTCCCCACTGCCGCCTGCTTGCTGCCTCCCTGCCGTCGCCATGCGCCCGCTCCCCCGCAGGCGGCGGCGTGCGTGTGGTTGGGCGGCACCCGCTGGGCCAAGTGGTGCACGTCTTCTCGCACATACGCATGACGATGAAGGTTGAGGCGGTGGTGCTGCAGGTGCGAGGCGCGGGCGGGCGGGCCGCGCGCCTGTTCGCCGGTTCGGCTGCGGCGGCGGTTGCTGGGGCTAGTGCCGGTGGCGGCGGCGGCGGCATTGGCTGGGCGGAGGCCTGTGCAAAGGCTGGGGGGTTTTGAGGCATGTGTATGGTCTGCTGTGGGGTGGCCACCTCCACCACCCTCACCGCGTGTCGCCCTCCTGCCTGCCTGCCTGCCTGCCTGGACCTGCAGGGCGATCTCGACACGTCAGCTCGGGGCGCTGACGAGGCGGCTGACCTGGCGGCGCTGCAGTGGGTGCCCGGCGGCGAGATGGGCGGCAAGGGGCTGAGCAGCGGCGTGAAGAAGGTGGGGCGCGCCCGCTGGTTGGTTGTGCTGCGGAGGCTCGGCGGGTGCACATTTGGCAGATGGGGCAGAGCAGCCCGGCCCGCCTGCGATGAGCGTGCACCGAGCTGCCGCTGCCGCGCCTGCCTCGCACCCCCCTGCCCGCCCCCCTCCCGACAGGTGTACAAGCTCTTCACCGACGCCTGCTCCAAGGCCGCCAGCAAGCAGTCCATCACCGCGTTCTTCAGGCCCAAGGCGCCCGCCGCGGCGGCGGCCGACGGCGCCGCCAGCGCGTAGCGGCGGCCGGGTGGCTGCACCCTCGGGGCGAGTGTTTTTCGGGCAGCGGCGAGGCCGGCCTGCCGTTCTATGTATCAAGCATGCTACCTTCCCACTTCAATGGTCAAAAGGCGGTCCTGGTCTTTCCCTGCAAATTCTCCTGGCGAGGGCGACGTCAAATGGACCATGAGGCCCTTGCCGCCCGGCCCGCCGGCCAACCGGCAGGGCCTCCACAAAGCGCCGGCTTCCGGCACCGGGCGTTGGCCCTGGGGCCACGCTTCTCTTCTTCCCGCCCTTGCTCCTGGCTTCCTCCAGCTCCCGATGGAGCGCCGCTGAGCTCGCCCTAGGCAGGGTCCTGCTCGCGGCACCAGCGGGTGCAAATCCACTTGGTGCCCGCCTCCACCCGCTCCGCCTCGTGGATCGACGCCTTGTCCTCGCCGCCGCCAGGCAGCCGCGACCTGCGCCAGGCAGTACACGGATGTGTGCGGCAGGCAATACGGATGTGCGCGCCAGGCAACGGATGTGTGGGGCAGGCAACGGGTGTGTGCGGCAGGCAACGGGTGTGTGCGGCGCGTGTAATGAGGGTTTTAGGGGTGGGGGATGGCGGGTGCCCCGGGGGAGGCAGCCAACAGGGGCAGGGAGGGCAGCAGGCACCGTCTGGGCAGCACCAGTGCCGGCTGCGGGCCGGCGCGTGCTCGCAGCGACTGGCGCTGCCGCCCCGGCCGTGCCTCTGCCCAGCTGGCTACCTTTTAGAGACACTCACCAGAAGATGACTGCCCGCCCCTCCCGCGGCTGCACCCAAAGGCCGGGGGGGTGCTGCGGCTGCCCCGCGCGTGGGCTGTGGCCCGCAGGGGGGCAGGCGCCGGGGGGCGGCGCGGGCTCATTGCGGGCGCCAGCTGCGCACGCCTCCAGCGCCCGCTCCAGAGGGTAGCCGCAGGAGCGGGGGAAGTGAGTGGCGCCACCTGCCTCCACGTCGCTGCGGGGAGGGGGGGTTGCAGGGCATGCAGGGAGCGGCATGTCGGGTGGCAGTGCGTGGCGGGGGCCGGGTGTGGGGTGCGGCACGGCACGGCGCAGCCACACCGCCATCCACAGCCCAGCACAGCACAGCACAGCACAGCCAGAGCAGCACAGCACCGTGCTGTCCTGTGGTGTGCTGTGCTGTGCTGTGACAGTGCAGACTGTAAAACGCCAGCCCGCAAAACACGGCAATCAAACAACCAAGAACAGCCCCCCACCCCCACCTGATGTAGATCATCACGGTGGCGGCACGCCTGGAGGAGTCCCCCGCCCGGTTGTCCAGATGCAGCGCATAGAACTGCGCTTGTTGCCAAGCACAGGGGCGGGGCGGGTGGCAGCCAGACAGCAGGCGAGCCAGGCGCACGCCGGGGACAGCAGGAGGTGCGGCCTCGGGGCCATCATACAGCTTCACCTGCAGCCTCCCCTCCCCCCCCAGCCCCCCCCAGCCAGCACGTATGCGCACGCCCCGGCAGCCCCATCCCACCTGCCCCGGGTCGTATCGCACGATCTGCGTGGCCTCTCCCAGCTGCAGCGCCCGCCGCCCCTCTGCCTCGCACGCCAGCGCCGCCAGCTGGCGCACCCGCCCCTCCAGCCGCGCCGCCACCGGTTGCTGCGCCAGCGGCCCTGTCAGGAAGGTACCCCAGGAGGTGCGCAGTGGGGTCTCGTCGCCTGCGGGGCAGCGGGGCAAGGGACGGGGAGGTGTGAGGGAGCGGGGCAGGAGGCGGGTGGCGAGAGGCGGAGGGGGGCAGGCACACGCGCGGCAGGCGGCGGCGAGCGGCAGCGCCCAGCTGCGTGCTCGGCAGCCGCCTCCAGCCCGACCCGCAACACACTGTTCAGCAGGCAGGCACCCACACCCAAAGCCACGGCCCACCTGCCGACACCTTGCTGCGCTTCATGTGAGGCGCGCCCAGCGCCCGCACCTCCCCGCACTCTTCGGGGGACAGGAAGGCGTCTGCCAGCAGCAGGCACGGCTCCTCCGACACTTTGAGCAGCAGCGGCGCCTCGTGCACTACCAGGCCGGGCAGCGGGGCCTGCGGGGCGGGGTGGGGCGGGGGGTAGTGATGCGGGGGGGGGGGGGGG